TGACGATATATATATATATATATATATATATATATATATATAAAACTCCGACGAAACAGTTTGTCACAGCCCCTCGTTTGTTGTCCTCTTCTCTCTCTCTGCCTACGGTTTTACCGGGCAGTTCTGTTTGTGACGATATATACAAATACGTACTAAACCATGCAACTAAGGTGGTTGATACCAATTCCATTCACTAACCCTGGTATACTGGTCGAGGACAGTGGCGTCTAAGGAGCGAGCCATTCTTATATTGTCCCATGCACAAAGATTCATGTCTTTGTGATGTTTATGCAAGCCGATATTGAAGGCAGGACCTGTGTTTGAAACAAGCGACAATGAAAACTTACTTTCACATGAGAAGCACACAGTTGTGTTTTCGTTCGAATGACTTCTCCCTTTCTCCGTCTCTGTGTCCTCTATCTCCTTGGCCCTCACAGCCCCTCATTTGGCCCTCACAGCCCCTCATTTGTTGTCCTCCACCAGCAGTTCTGTTTGGACGATATATCTATATATGATGAGCTGGTGAAACTCCGACGAAACAGTTTGTCACAGCCCCTCACTTGTTGTTCTCTGTTGTTCTCTTCTCCCTCTCTGCCTACGGTTTACCGGGTAGTTCTGATATCTACTAATCTATGCAACTTCAGGTGGTTGAAACCAATTCCATACTGGTCAAGGACAGTGGTGCCTAGGAGCAAGCCATTTTAACATTGTCCCACGTACAAAGATTCATGTCTTTGTAATGTTTATACAAGCTGAGATTGAAGGCAAGACCTGTGTTCGAAACAGGCGACAATCAAAACTTACTTTCGCATGAGAAGCACACAGTTGTGACCTGTGTTCGAAACAGGTGACAATCAAAACTTACGAGTTCTTCACTTCAACGACCTTGAATAAGTTGTGTCCGTCTCATTGTGGACTTCTACAACGTCTCATTTATTTGCATGAGAAGCACACAGTTGTGTTTTCTTTCCAATGACTTCTCCCTTTCTCCTTGTCTGTGTCCTCTCTCTCCTCCGAGTCCCCGCTCTCTCTCTCTCACACACACTCTTTGCCCCTGTTTTCTCCTACGGTGAGATTTATCAAGTTGCATGCATCACTCTATTTCGGCTGAAGGAGATGGCTGTACTTTCTCTCCTTCAGTGGGCATGCTTAGTAGTCTTCTGTACAAAGGAGTCAAGGAAACCCTTTGCTGTGTAGGGTTTTCTGTACACAGGAGTCAAGTAAAATTTTCTCTCTAGGGTGTTCTGAGTGTATCTGCTCCATGGGTACACGGAAGCATGTTGTACGCTTTTGCGTCTCACCATCAGTCGACACACACACCAGCAAGAGATGTTTTGGTGTCCTGCGTCATGAGTACAATTGATAGTCGTTTGTTTTTTAAAAGCCATTACCCAAGAATAGGGGGGTAGCAGCACCCATTACCTGGTGCATGTGTGAGGACTTGGCAGGTGGTTGCTGCCCTCACTCCAGGCTGAGGGGAGGCAGGTGCGTGCTCTAAGGTGACCTCTGGCAGCACATACTTAGTTGGGTGGTCTGAGTGTGTCCTCTCTCAATAGATACAGTGAAGCATGTTGTAGGCTTTTTTTATCTCACCATCAGTCGACTCACCGGCAACTTGTTTTGGTTTCTCTCATCATTAGAGTACAGTTCAGTCTTTTTGGAAATGGTGTGATAGCTGTCACCAAAAATAGCGATGGAGCGGCAGCGACTACCTGCTGCATGTGTGCAAACCTAATTGGCAGGTGGTTGCTGTCCTCACAGCAGGACGAGGGGATGACTATTCTTGCTCAATGGCGGAGCCATCATCTCTGCCAGCTGTGGCAGACGCTCAAGTATACTAGTGTGAGGAACAGTGCAGCTACCAGCAGTACCAGCCCAAGGACGTTTAAAACCACCATACCCACTGATGCTTGGGAATTCGGGGGACCTGTAAGCAGTGTTTTTTTAGGCCTAACGGTAGCACAGTTTTTGCAAAAATGAGGCAAAAAGAACAAGGCTGCCAGTTTGTTAGGTCAATTTATTTTCAGGCTCTAGAAGTTTTTTTTTTCGCTTTTTAATATCTTTTTTGAAAACGTCAGCACGTAATCTACGGACTGTATTCTTTTGAATTTTCTTTGTGCATTTGTCTGAGTCTGAAAAGTGAAGTTTTTTGCCTATCCATATTGTTTTGGCCTAACAAGTGAGAAATGCACTGAATTGCAGCGAGAATTTGTTTCACGGCTGAAAGTTTTTTTCTTCTTCATTTTTTCAAAATTTTGATTATTTTTCCTGGAAAGATCAGGATCCTATCCATGGGCCCTCCATTTATAAGAATTTTGGCAGATTCTTCTGAGCGCGGTAAATCGCCTGAGTTGGTGCCTTTTTTTTTTTTTTTTTCGTTCAATTGCTGTCGGCCGTAACATCCCTTGGGTCTAGCGGTTCCTGGCCCCCTTCAGCCTAAGGCGGACTCACCGGAAAGCCAGTTTGTGACTGTTGAGGGGAGGGCTGATTTAAGGTCATCGTATGGCTGTTGCTGGATGGTGAAGACCAACAGTGACCTATTCTAGGAAATAGAGTAGCTGCTACTACTGGCCCAAGTAATTTCAGTCCACAGGCAACAGAGCACCACTAATGCTTTGTTGTTTCCTTTTAGGTTGTTTGCAGCCTATCTAGGCTGGAATTTTTTTGGGAGCGTTGTGCCTTTTGCCATGATGGCATTTGCATGCCCTCCAATTCTTGTCTCTCTCTTAAGTGGTGGAGCCAGCCTAGTGATGTTGTCATATTGGCTTTTCCAAACGTGTGGTGGCCCTCTGTCATGATTGCCCTTGCTGCCTTGCCATTTGCAGCTATCTCGCTCTCTCTCACACACATATCACGCACACAAATGCATCTGCTCACATTCCTATATCCATCCTGTCATGAATGCAATTAATACCTAGCCAGTGTTTGTCGCAATTCCCTTTTTCTCTTTGCGCTGATGATATAACTGCTTGGTAAAATGCATGTGCTAACTGTGTAGCAGGTATATATAAAAGGAATCGGTTCTGCAAGGAAAACAGTCATAAGTGGACAACATGCACATATTTGCATATCGCTCATCTCTGCTCACAGGCACCAGGAGTTTCACACCCATGAGAGAGTCACAAATCCAATCACCCAGCCACACAACTGGACGCTAATATGTGCAGGTGCCTTTCGTCGATGTATGTCCAGACATGCATGTAAGCAGGAGCTTGCATGGGCGGCAGCACGCACATGTGGACAGATCATCCATTTCCTCCTGAACACACAGGATGCAAACTCTTTTCCTTTTTGCATCGTCCACTTGTGCCAGTATCTCCCCCTTGCCCACACCCAAGTGGACAAACATTGTTCTTCCTCTCTATTGCCCTCCCATGCTGAAGGGTGCAGTTGCATGCACAGCGCTTGATAGACGCCTGCATGTTACCCATATTTGCAATTTTATAAGAGGGAGAGGGAGGGAGGGATATATATATGTGTATATATATATCGTATATATATATATATCGTCACAATATCTAGAGAGAGAGAGAGAGAGAGAGAGAGAGAGAGAGAGAGAGAGAGAGAGAGAGAGAGAGAGAGAGAGAGAGAGAGAGAGAGAGAGAGAGANAGAGAGAGAGAGAGAGAGAGAGAGAGAGAGAGAGAGAGAGAGAGAGGCAAACAAGTAGCAATCGCTTGATGTGTGCTTTTCAAAGCTTCATTGGTGTGCAGTCGTTGTCTTCCTGATTGTGGCGAGGGGATAGAGCCCCAAGGGGCCTGCTCATCAATGTGGTCAGTGTATGATTCATGGGCAGGTAAGCATGTTCCTTGGTTGCTTAAGGGTGCCATTTTTCTTATGCTCAATATTTCAAGAAGACTCTTTACATTTTTAGCTGACCTTGAACATCGTGCCTGCTGACTGCTTGTTCGTGCACTCAATTTGTCAATGCTACTATATTAAATTCAGCATGTAGAAGACAGCATGCTATGCAGTGGATGCAAATGATGACTGGGGCTGATCTGCCTTTGGATCCTTCCGAGGAAGACTTCAGGAAAGTGCTTAAGAATGGCGTGCTTCTCTGCGAGCTGATCAATAGAATGCAACCCGGATCGGTTCCGAAGGTCTGTAGTGCATTCCTCATCTCGTCCTTCCCTCGCCTATCCTGTGTATCCAGCCAAATTGCTGCTTTACGGTCCATGAAATCAGACAGTTACCTTTGCTGCAAAGGATTTTTCATGGGAAAGATGCCTGAATGAGCGAAGGAAGTGGAATATGTAGCATTTCTTTGTTCCCGAATGTTCTCACACACTCAATCGAAGATGTGGGCATTCATCCTGCATCGAACTTCATTTCTCACTTAGACAGTCACCTCTGATATGTGATACTGGTATTGCCAATGCATTTGTGACGTATGGGGATTCTGTGCAAGTTTGGCAATTTGTGTCGGAATTGTGTATCTTTCTAACTTGTCCTCAGTCATTTATGATGCACTCGTTTTTGCCCGTGTTATTGCTTTACGGGAGTCTATGTAATTCAGTCACTCATGACGGCGATGTGCTATTCATGGACTGGAAACGGAGAAAGGTAGGAGTTCCTTGTACATGCAGCTTGGCAATTGATCGCATAGGAGCGGTATTGCTACGTCGTGGCTGTCCTTTGCAAGCTGTCCCTGCTCTCCTCTGGACCTCATTTCTTTTTTTTATTTTTATTTTTTTTATTATTTTTTTTTTATTTAGGACATCATTTCTCACAACTTCAGTCTACATTATTGCTGTAAAAAGAATAGGAGCCCTGTTACCTGATTCAGCAGCTATTCTCCCGTGTACTCTGTGGGGAACTAATGCTCACCATGTATGCCTGACCCCCGTCAGCTATTTTCAGATAAGACTTGAGATCATGAAGGGGTCTGGTGCATGTTCTGAGCCTCGGTACTGCCATTTACACGAAGGATATGCCTTCGGATGTAAGAATAGGCAAGACAACGAAAGGTTAAAGGGCTGAACTCATGCTTCCACCTGTCAAGAAGATCTTTTTTAAATATCTTTTTTTGGATTTGAAGTGGTGACAATTTATCAGCTGCTTAGATGGAGCGCTTTTTCTTTCTGTTCGTGGGCACAGCATCTTCAATTTGTGCCACTCTAGGAGGATGATCTGTCATCATTGACAGAACTGATTCTTGGAGAGCTTTTTTGACTTATTTTCACAAGACGAGCATGAGAACAAAAAAAAAAAACAAGAAAAGAACAAACTGAACGATGTGTGTAAATAAAAAAGAAAAAAAGAACAAAAAAAAACAGTGAAAAGAAGATGAGCGTGATCGTCCCTTTGCATACTTGGTAAGGAAAGGTCCTTTTCAAGTCATTATGTCGTATGTTTGTGGATGCCATGGTGCCCATGAATCAGATGGAGCGCTACCCGCAGGGCACACTATATGTACTCCATGGCCCGAGGCAGTGACCTTTGGACAATGGAATACCCCATTCAGGGATGGAACATCCATCTGCGTCAAGAAATGCTTTTTTTTTACACTTGATTCAAGTTAATTCTATCAGTTGAACTGGCGGGGTCGCCCTTTGATACGGTACATTGTACATAACCCTTATGGGATAGGCACAGCTGTCTTCACCATGAAGAGCGATCCCCTATACCCCTAAGGGTATTTTTTTTGGTCCTGATTCCACATGTTTATTCTCCAAATTGTTTGGAGTTTGGGATTCCTCGAAAGGTTAGGGCGACAGAGGGACGATCTTTATCTTTTTTTTGGGGGGTGGGTCCTAGCTCGAAAACCCGGGGACAATAGTGTGGTAGGGCCACTGCCAAACTTCTCCTGGAGGGCCACGTTGGTAGGTTGGGGGCAGGAACAACTGGAAAATCAGAATGAGAAGTGTGAAAGGATACCTACTAAGATCCTGGTTCCACGCGGCTTGTAAGTTGTGCCCTGTGTTGGTCTGAGCTGCCCTTCAGGCATTGGAGTCCCATAGCAGCCCCAATGCTTGACAATGGGCCTTGCCGCTTGGCACATGAAGACAAAATTTCATGCAGGAAATGCTCATTTTCGCATCTCGGCATAGCGGCCATGAGTGTGAAACATGAACTGAGGTTTGTGAGATGTCAGAGCACACTTGTTTTCACGTTTTGTGTGGAAGAGCGTTGCCCGCCTGCACGTTGTGAATTTCGGGTGTGGGCTTATGAAAGATGCTGGAGCCCAGCATTTACACAAACATTGGCATTTTCCGCCAAGACATGAGGTTTGTCTTGCTCTTTTTTTCTTTTTCTTTTGAGGTTTGTTGTGTTGTCCTGGTGCCCTCACCAGTCAAAGGTCGATTCCTATCTCATAAGGGCTGTGCGGCAATGGGCTCAAACACGACTTTTCTCAATCTTTAAGACCTTGTGCCCCCCTCATGAACTTCATGGTCGTTTTCGTGTGACATGCAGCAAGGTCCAATGTGCCTCTCGTCAGTCCTGTCTGACTGGTGATGACTGGCATGGGACGCAAAAGTACTTGTCTGAGGGTCGAACACCAGATACAGTTAGTGAAAAGAACTTGTTTTTTATGTAACTGTCCAGTGTGCAATCAATGGGAAAAATTTCACTTCATGTGAAAAGACCCTGGGGTGCACTGGTGGCTTAAGTGTATGTGCCATAGATGCGGTTAGATACTTTTAGTGCCAGAGTATGTGTTTGCAGGGCAAGGCAAGTCTAGGTATGTTCTAGGTTGGAGCTTTCAGAATGACTACCCAATGAAGGCCTGTCTGTGGTTGCGCTCACCTTCCCTGCCCTGCCCCTTTGAGCTGTTTTTTTTTGTGTGTTTTCTGCATCTTCTTGAGAAACTGTGACCTAATGAATCTCATGTAGGCTTCCAGAGAAGAGAACCTTGTGGTATGTGAGTGGATCGAGTTTTGATTTTGAATCAGTTTTTGTGTTCAAGTAAGATTTTTTTTTTCTTTTCTTTTTTAATTTGAACTTCCCCGGCCGGTGTAAGTAAGATTGTGCCATGTGAAAGGTAATCTTTTTTGCCCGGGGGTGGCACATCACTAGCACAGTGAGATATGTAGTGGCAAGGTTCAGGTTTATGAGCATTTTATGGCAATAGTGCACAGGATGGCCAGAGACATTTGAAAGAAAATGTGAGAATAGGCTTGCGATTCCAGTATAAGGGATGTGAAGCTAGTTGTTTTGCCGTAGAGTTTGGTAACGTCGCAGTGAAATAGTGCCTTTGGGATCTTTTCTCCATGTGCATGACGTTTGGTAAGAAGCTTACTTCGTCGGCTCCGCTGCTCACACGTGTAGTGGTGAGATTGGAAGAGAAGTCTGAGTGCAGCTTGGCCCTCGAGTGGGGGATTGCATAGTCGTTGACACTGCAGGTTGCTCTGCATGGGCCTAACCGTATCTCCTGCATCGGATAGAGGTATTATCCAACCAGTAAATGGCCCCAGCCAACTTCAAAAAGATCATGGCTCACTCCTAAAATCCCGGAGGCTTGGCACTACTGGACCACAACAGCTGGCGGCATCAGCTAAAAAAGGAAAAAAGTGCACCGCGCTGGCAGTTCGGCGAAGCTTGGCGTGAAGTGTGACCATGCCAGCCGTGGGTGTACTGGTCCTTTAACATGTAGCATGGCTAGCACCTGGCTTAGCTGGGCCTAGCTGTTCCTTTTTTCAGTGAGCTTTTTGACAGTGCAAAACAGGAAAAAGAAAAGAGAAGGAAAATTTGAACTGGAAAGGGGGTGCACAGACACACACCCATGAGATATGAAAGGAAAAACAAAGTGTAAAATGAACTGGAAAGAGGCCAGACATCTATAAGAGGGAAAAAAGGAAAAATGAACTGGAAAGAGCACCTGGGAAGCAGCTTCTTTGGCTCTCAGGATGGATGGGTGTGCAGGAACCTCCTGGTAAGGAATTGTATTCGGAATATGGATAGGTGAACCCCACTGACTCTGGCAAGGAGCTGATCTAACTTGCGCGGATTCTAGCACCACCCCCGTCCCCAGTGTCTGTGTTTCAGGGGACATTCCTCTGCTTGCCCTCTTCCGCTCTGGAATGGGTAGGAGAAAGGACAAAAATGTCGATTCTTGTATCCCACCAGTAGAGTGAAATGTTTACACCTGTCTGTGATGGAGGATCAGTTCTGACTGGAGCTCTTGTGAACAAAGCAAAAACAGAAGCAAAGAAAAGGCCCTCAATTCGAAACAGTACCCGACAGACAAAGTTCTTAGAGACATCGGTTAAAATTGGAAAGATCCAGGCAAGCAAGGATGAAATGCATGAATCAAGATATGGCACATGTAAGGATGACATGCACAAACCAAGGAATTGTCTGAATTCTTTAATTTCTTTTAAGAAGAGAAGGAAAAATGTAAATGGAGGGGGATTGGCCATTCTCCTTCAACCACATGGATCACAGCCATTGCTTGCAAATGGTTCTCTAATCTGAACAGAGGAGAGCCCTGGCAGGGTTGGAGGGTTATTTTTTACTCATAGTTTATATGGGGTCATGTTGTGGTCCCCACCTGCATGCTGCTTTTGAGTTCACATGGTCCTTTTCTATTTTTAGACTTGGGTGAAAGCCAGGGCTGATGTTTGTCCACTACCTATCCCAGGTTCACTTGAGTGGGGAAGAGATGGATGTCATGCCTGGGTCATGACTGTTCACTTTTTGTAATGTGAGGTGTGACCGAGGCATGTTTTTTAATGTGATACTGACGTCGGTATCCATAATATTCCGTATTGCTTGTGGACATACACACACAAACCTACTGGACAGAATGTGTCTTTCATCAATTTGGGCAAACGTCAAATGCACACAAGACAAAGGGGTGGACCCACCCTATTCATGAAACGAGAAAATTGGCGAATGCAACTTCACACAGAACGTTGCAAGATACACTCTTGTGTAGTAGCCCATGTATCTTGTCATCTTCATAGGAGGGACACACACTACCTCTCTGCTTGCATCTATGTTGGCTGCAGGGATGGCCCATGCTAAGACTGTTATCTGAGCTGTGCAGCACCTGCAGCTGGATTATGATTGTTCAATTCTATTGGTCACAAGGTGATTGAAAGTTCACCTTCTTGTTGCGATGCCACTTTTGTGTGGCGGCAAGCTGACCATTTTAGGCAGATGACCACAGGTCCCCCCGCCACCGAAAACCCCTAGTCCCTGT